GGTGCGTGTGGGAGCCTCCTGGGGGGCTGGGGGGGCCGGGGCTGGTGCTGACGGCCAAGGTGGGCACACAGGTGAGCCTGGCCTATGCCTACGAGACGAAGGACGCTCTGTGCCTGGTGCTGACCATCATGAACGGGGGAGACCTCAAGTTCCACATCTACAACATGGGGAACCCCGGCTTTGAGGACAAGCGCGTGGCCTTCTACGCAGCAGAGATCTGCTGTGGGCTCCAGCACCTGCACCAGGAGGGCATCGTCTACAGGTGAGCTGGGCATGGGGCAGCGGGTGCTGAGCCACCCCTCTGCACGGGGCTGAGCCACCCCTCTGTCCCCACAGGGACCTGAAGCCGGAGAATATCCTGCTGGATGACGATGGTGAGGAGGGAGCTGCTCGGTGTGGCCCTGCCCGTGCTCGTGGCACGAGGATGGGTCTCTATGTGATCCAGGGGGTGCCTGGCTGTGCCCTGGGGGGATGTGCTGGGATGTGAGGTGACCTTTCCCTGGGATAATGCCCTCAGCCCCCTCCCTGCCCCAGGCCACATCAGGATCTCTGACCTGGGGCTGGCTGTCAAGATCCCCGAGGGTGAGACCATCCGGGGCCGCGTGGGCACCGTCGGCTACATGGGTGAGCGTGGGGGCTGCACTGGTGGGCTGGACCAGGGTCCTTGTGTGGCACCGTGCCCGGGTGCTGACAGCTGGGGGCTGTGCCCCACAGCCCCGGAGGTGATCAGCAATGAGCGCTACACCTTCAGCCCCGACTGGTGGGGCCTGGGCTGCCTGGTGTACGAGATGATCGAGGGGCAGTCGCCCTTCCGCGCCCGCAAGGAGCGGGTGAAGCGGGAGGAGGTGGAGAAGCGGGTGCAGGAGGAGCAGGAGCTCTACTCGGACAAGTTCAGCGAGGACGCTCAGGCCATCTGCAAGTTGGTGAGCTGGGGACCCAGGAGTCCCTGCGGGGGCCGGACCGGACCCATCCCTGCTGTGACACCCTCGTTCCCCTCCGCAGCTCCTGGCCAAGGACCCCGGGGTGCGGCTGGGCTGCGGGGCCGGCGGGGCGGCCGAGGTGAAGCGACATCCCTTCTTCAGGACCATCAACTTCAAGCGGCTGGAGGCCGGAATCATGACCCCCCCCTTCGTGCCGGACGTAAGGGCCGGGCAGGGGTGGGCACCCACGGTGTGGGGGGGACAGCCTCACTCCCCCCACTGCCCCCCTGACAGCCCCCCGGGCCCTGCAGCCGCGGGCGGTTTATTGCAAGGACGTGCTGGACATCGAGCAGTTCTCCACGGTGAAGGGCGTCAACTTGGACCAAACCGACAGTGATTTCTACGCCAAATTCGCCACGGGCAGCGTCTCCATCCCCTGGCAGAACGAGGTACTGGGGGCGTGGTGCACCAGAGGGGTCCCACCCAGCTGTGGTGCTGCCGGCGCCCAACCCTGCGGTGACCTGACCCCCCCAGATGATCGAGACCGAGTGTTTCAAGGACCTCAACGTGTTTGGGCCCAGCGGGACCCGCTCCCCCGACCTGGACTGGCAGCGGCTGCCCGAGCCCCCCAAGCGCAGCCTCTTGCAGCGGCTCTTCCGGCGACACGTAAGGGACAGGGGCGTGTTTTGGGGGGCTGGGGTGCCCTGGGGTCTCCCCGAGACCACCCTGGCTCACTGCCCACCATCTGTCTGACTGTTCCTTGCAGCCAGCTGACTACACCATTGGCACCTCTGTCCACCCCCCCAGCTCGGCTGCTGTGAACTCGCACCCTCCTGCGGCCAAATCCTCCTGCCAAACCCCGGCACCGGCACCGTCTTGACCCCTCGGGGGGCCCCCAGCCCCCGTGTGCCCTCTCAGGGTTATCCCGGAGCAGCTCTGGGGCCGGGGGCTCCGGGGATGCTCACGGAGGGGAGGGGGATGCTGGCACGGGCTGATGTGGGTGGGCAGGGGGCGATGGGGGCAGAGGGGTGGAAGCTGCCTTGACCCCAACCCTGCCAGCTCCCCATCCCTCCAGCCTGTTCCTGGGGGCTTCCACTGCAGGACCGCCTCCCACCAGCTCCCCTCCCCACTGCCAGGGGAGGGGGCCAGGGCACAGACCTGTTTCTGCTGCTTTTGAGCCCATTATCTTATCACCGGGTCAGAGCGTGACCTCTGCGGGCATCGGGGGGGGGCTGTGGTTTATCTGTGCTCTCCAAATAGCAACACGGGCAGCCTTGGAGTGAGGGGACACCCCGGCCCCCCCGGCCGTGCTGCAGCAGGAGGGACGGGGTCACCCCGACAGAGCCTCCCCCCAGAGAAGCACGGCCTCCCCTGCTCCGGCCACTGCGGTGGGAAGCGGGCTGGGAGAGGGGAATTTTCTCGAAGGTGGCTGGGCAAGGAGGGGGTGAGGGGCTCCCCCCATCCTCACGAGGCAGCTCCGGGCAGCCTCGGGGTTCCTGGGCCCCCCATCCCTTCGGGCCCTGGTGAATCTCCAGCACCTTTGGTCGGCGTTGATCCGGTTTTGTATATTTTGTACAGTTGTGAATATTTGTACCTCGAGCCCTGTTGTACATTTTTTAAGCGAAAAGCTGCAAACGGAGCTGCATGGTGACTTTGTGGGTGGACTTGGGGGCCTTTCCGGGGGGGCTGTGGGGGCTTTCTCGGGTGTTTTACCTCCCCCAGCATGTTCTCCCCCCTCCTTGCCCTGTGGGATGTGGGTGGGGGTGCTGGGTGCCCATCCCGGGGCGGGGCTGTGCTGGTTTCCCGGGCATCCCCTTGCTGGCACACGGGACATGGCCACGTGCTGCCCGTGCCCCCAGCCCCGTCCCCAGAAGAGCAGGGCTCAGCCGAGGGGCCAGCTGGGTCCAGGCAGGTCCGAGCTGTGGCCAGAGCCTTGTCCTGCCCTGCTGCTGGAGCTCAGCGGGCTCAGCTGGCCAGGCCAACTGTGTTCTGATGGAGAGGCACCTTCCTGGAGCCCGAGGTAGGTGCTGGGACCCCAATCTCATCCCTGGTGCCTGTGGCATTGCTACTGCTCCTCCTGGCCACCCTCAGTACCCCCCTGCTGCTGTTCCTTTCCCTCGCAGGCTCGGTGCATGCATCAGCGGGGGGGACCTCAAGGGACATCCAGAGGAGGTGCTGAGGCCACATCAGGAGCTGGTGAGGGTCCTGGGTGTGTCCCAGATCACCAGAGCCCCCTGAGGGTTCTGGAATCCTTTTTGGAGTCCCCTTGTGGCGCCCTGGGGATGGGTCACCTGGAGCATTTCCCTCGTGTGCTGTGGCACAATGACTTGTCCTCATGTCCCTTCCCCAGGGGCACAGAGGAGCTCGTGCCCCTCCAGCCCCCCCAGCCCAGAGCCAGAGGGGTGGCTCTGCCCGGGCTGTTTTGGTTCTTCTCACAAACAACTGCATGTCCTTGTGCCAAGGCCTCGTGCCGGGAGCCACTGCTCCGTCTGGGATAACAACAGTCCTGGGTGGTTCACAGCTGGGGGGTCTCTGGTCCCCCTCACTGTCAGGGCAGGGGGGCTGTGGGTAATGCACAGTATGGGGGGGTCTCTGGTCTCCCTTAGCACCCAGACCCGTGGGTGCTCCGTGTGCGTTTGGCCGGAGCTCTGGGCAAGGAGCTCCCGGGAGCAGCTCAGGGATTTCAAACCCTCTGGAATTTCCCTCACTCCATGTGCAGGCAGGTGGGAGCAGGTGGGTGAAGCCCGGAGCAGGGAGAGCTGTGGCACAACCTGGGAGTCACACCTGTGGGACCGTGGCTGCAGCGAGGATTTCCCAGCAAACATTTGGGAAGGGGACGGCGCAGCCTCCGGCTTCCTCCTGGTCCCTCCAGCACCTTCGTCCGGTCGCGCATCGCTGACGTGAACGTGGGGTGCTTTCTGCACATGACAGAGGATGGCAGCCCTGGCGATGGAGAGGAGCATCCTGAGGAGCAGCAGGAACATTCTGGATGGCAGGTGGGACCCGAATCACCTCGGGGGGGCTGGGGACAAGCAGGGGGAGGTGAGGGGCTCCCCGGGGCTGGTGCAGCATTGGGGTGACCTCCCCCTGGGCCAAGTTGTTGCAACAGCGGGGAGGAAGGTCAGGCTCCCCGCAGGAGGGTGCAGGGGTTGACGTCAAAGGAAGCAGCTGTGATTCACGGGTTCCTGGGAGCGCTGGTCTCCGGGCCATAACTCATCCCAGAAATGTCATTTCAGCCTTGAGCGTTATCGCTGCTCTGCCGTTGCCCACCACTCCCAGCCCTGGGACAGATAACCAGGCTCGGAGGTAGGGGGGCTGCACGAGGCTGCCCCTTTCTCCCAGCCCAGGCTCAACAGCTCGACATGTTTAATATTCAGCTCTGTATGGGCTGTCCTGGTTCTTGTGTGCAGCGTTTGCTGAGGTTGGGCTGAGCCTGGCTGGGTTATTCCAGGATGGCTCTGTCCCGAGACGGTGTTGTCCATTGCTGTTATTATCCATTGTTATCCATCCATGATAATCATCCTCGATGGCCTTGTAGGTCTTTTCCAACCTTACTGATTCTGTGGTTCTGTGTTTGCCCACCGACACCTGTCAGAATTGATTATCACCTGTCCTTACCCACAGCTGATGGCCCGTGTGCCGCAGGGTCTGTCCCTGGCACGGCAGGAGCTGGGCAGGGGGGCTCTGCCTCTCTGCTGTCCCTCAGGGGTGCCGTGCCCCCGTGGCTGTGCCGTGGACGGGGCTGGCCGTGCCCCCCTGTGCCGGCTCCGTGTCCCAGCACGGCGCTGACCCCTCAGCTGCGTGAGGAGCCCGGCGTGGCCTTGGCCCGCGGGGCCCTGCCGTGAGTGACGGCTCTTATCTGGTGGCTGACGGGGCAGAATCCTTCAGCCCACGTACTTAAGGCCGTGGCGGCGGGGCTGGGACAGAGCCGCGCTCGCCGCAGACACCGAGCACAGACACTGAGCACAGCCACCACCACAGCCACCACCACAGCCACCACCACAGCCACCACCACAGCCACCGAGCACAGCCACCACCACAGCCACCACCACAGCCACCACCACAGCCACCGAGCACAGCCACCACCACAGCCACCACCACAGCCACCGAGCACAGCCACCACCACAGCCCAGGAGATGCTCCCAGCCACGTCCAAGCTCTGTGCCGCCATCTCCTACCGGCACCTGCGCAACATGACCGGTGAGGGGCTGCCTGGGGCAGGAGGGGCAGCGGGGTCCTGTCCCCGCTGTCACACTGGAGTTCGTGGGAGAAGTTCCCGCTGAGTCGCGGGTGCAGAAAGGACACCACCCCCCCCCTTTGCTTTCTAAACTCCTTCTCGGGCAGGAGGATGAGCTCAGGGGTGCTCTCCTTACCCCACCCTATGCCGTGTTGCTTTCTGGGTTTTGTGATTTACTGTCCCTGCCGCCCTTTTTACCATCTCTGGTGCCTGTGCCCCTGTGGCCAGCTCTGGGTCACACTCCCACTGGCAGTGAGGATTTTCTATCCTTGTGCTCCATTTCTATGCTCTTTCCTGGGCCACCCGATGTTCCTCAGTATTTTTACTGCTGCATGGCTTGGACCTGGAGCCAAGCCTGGGATTGCTTAGGACAGGCTGTCCCAGGGCAGCGTGATGGCTGCTCCCTGTGCCTGTAGGGACTCAGTAAAGGTGACAAGCAGAGGCTTTTCCATGTTGTATGATCAAACTGGGGGAAAAAGCCCTGGAAAGGCCCCTGATGCACTCTCCCCCTCAGGTCTGAGGAGACAAGCTGCTGTGGCCATCAGCCAGGAGCTGAGCAGGCTCGCCTGCCGCAGCCCAGGACCCAGCTCCTGGATCCACCAGGTGCGCAGGAGGAGCTCCTTGCTCAGTAAGTGACACCTCAGGGGGGTCTGTCCCTTCCTGCTGGGGGGAGGCTGTCAGGGATTGGGGATCCAGGGACTGGCTGGGGGAAAACCTGCTTGTGGGCGGGCTGTGCTTCTGCTGAACCAGCAGCAGAGTGGGAATTGGGTTTAATTCCCCGGTCCCTGGGCATGGAAAGAGTATTTGATGTAGATAAAGCTTATCTGGCACGTTCTTGCACTCACTCCTGCCTTTGTCTGGTCCCGGCAGGCTCGAGGCTGGAGGAGAAGCCCTTCAGTGAGATGGAAATGTCTTACATCAAACAAGGAGAGGAAGCCCTGCAGAAATCCCTCAGAATCCTGGAGGACCAGGACGGCTGGAAGACGGAGACGGTGGCGGTGGGTGCTCTGCCGTGTGGCACTGACACTCCTCCTGCCAACAGCTGTGGTGTTAATCCTGCTGTCCCCCCTCCAGGGAAACGGAGACAAAGTGCTGAGCAAGGTGCTGCCGGACGTGGGGAAGGTGTTCCGGCTGGAGGTGGTGGTGGACCAGCCCCTGGACTCAGTGTACGGAGAGCTGGTGGACAACATGGAGCAGATGGGAGACTGGAACCCCAACGTCAAAGAAGTCAAGGTAGGAAACGTGTGTCACAGCCGGGGTTCACACGGGTCCTGCTCCACGTGGCGTTGGAAGGGCTCATCACAGCAGGAGCACAGGGAATTCTCTGCCATTCTTTGCGACTGTATCTTGTCCTTTGCCTGCTGCAGATGTGGAGGGTTTTTATGCAGTAACTGTATTGTTGCTGCAGCAAAGGTGAGTCTGGAGCAGCTTCTCTGTGACTAATTCTGCAGGAAATGCACTTTCCTGCAAGGAGCAGCCAGTTCTGCTGTAACTCTGGGCTGATCCGGAGGAGAAGCAGCCCCGAGGCACAAGGAAGAGTTTGGCTATGCCACAGCTCCTCTGGAATCAGAGAAGCAGTAAGAGAAACACCTTTCAGGAACTGAAAACTCATGTTCTGCACCTGGGGTGGAGCATATATTTGCAATTTTTCTCCCTGTAAACACCAAGTTTTTGTCAGACCCTGTGTTTGAGCACCCGGTAACCAAAGGCAGCTTTTTAGCTACGCTGGCACTTAAACACTTCAAACTGAGGTTTCAGTTCCAAACTGCAGATCCTGGAGAAGATTGGGAAGGACACGGTGATCACCCACGAGAAGGCAGCCCCGACCCCCGGGAACATTGTTGGGCCCCGGGACTTCGTGAGCGTCCGGTGCTCCAAGAGACGCGGCTCCACCTGTGTCCTGGCCGGCATGTCCACGACGTACGGAGCGATGCCGGAGCAGGAGGGGTTCGTCAGGTAACCCCCTGTTCAGTCCCCTTACGGGGTGTGCAACGAGGGAGATTCCCACGGGGCAGGAGGGTTTTAGCAGGGGCTCAGTCATTGGTTTGTCTGGGCAGCAGGAGCTGCTGAGGAAACCCCCAATCACAAAGTGTATTTTTGAGGCTCGAAGTCTGGGTTTTGGGTCTGACCCGGTCCCTCCCCCCTGCCAGGGCTGAGAATGGTCCCACCTGCATGGTCCTGCGCCCGCTGCCCGGCAGCCCCTCCCGGACCAGGCTGACCTGGCTGCTCAGCATCGACCTCAAGGTACTGGGAAGGGCGCAGGGTGGAGAACGGGGGCTGTGGGGGAGGCAGGTCCTGCTCACAGGCTGTGTCTGCTCCTCTGCAGGGCTGGCTGCCCAAGACCATCATCAACCAGGTCCTGTCCCAGACACAGGTGGACTTCGCCAAACACCTCCGGCAGCGCCTGGCCCGGCCTGTGACCTGCTGACCACGACCCGCCCACCACCCGGGGCAGGGCTTTGTTCAGGGGCAAACGGGGAGTCACTTTGATCAGCCAAGGCCTTTAGCAGCAGACACCACTAATTAATATGTGGCTTCAATCAATAAATATAAAGATTTATTTATTGGAACTCATTGTGGAAGTGCAGGACCAAAAATTTTAAGTCCTACGTTTGCCTCACTGAGCATGTGCTGGCCCAGCCAGGAACCTCTACCCTCCCTAATTACTGTCACTGAATAAATAAAGCTTTAATTAGTGGTGTCCCAGGCCTGGGCTCACTAGTTATTTGGGAGGCCCCAGACATCTGACTGGGAAGATACATCCTCAGTGAGGCAAACACGGGCCTGACTGAACCTCACCTTTTACTCCCCTAAAACTCAAACACAGCACTTAACTAACAATTTTATTCCCTCTCCCCCCCCAAAGCAGCTCTAATTTATTTTTCCTGTACAGACACAGACACAGTGTCAAATTATTTATTCATCCAAAAGCTCTATAATGATGATCATTGGCAGCAGGCCCAGTGTAGTTCCTGTGAGCAGATCTTCAGCTTGAGAGATCTCCAAATGTAGCTACTTTGAGTTTAAATCTCACTTGTAACAATTTACAAGACAAAAACAGAATAAAAAGAGAGTTAAAGCCTTTATTTTTAAACTGGTTTCCAGTTTGTGGGGAAAAGAAAAAATACAGTTTGGACGGAAGCCCAAATTTCAGTCTTACATGCAGCTGTCTCGTTCCAACAGAGCCCTCCTGGCTGGGAGCTGTTGGTCCCAATCAGCCAAACACACCTGAGCACAGGTGTCACTGTACCTACACCTGGCAGGTCCAGCTACACCCTGTTCTCAGGAACACCCCACAGTCACAGCCCAGGAGGAGGTACCTCAGCACCCCCTTCTCCCGGGAGTGACACTGTAACGGTACTGGAGGCTCCAAGAGATGCCCCAAAATAGCACAAAACACCCCAGACCTGCCCCACTCGCACTCTGGCAGGGGGAGGGGTGTGAACCTGCAGCAGGTAACACATCCACAACACCTCAGCCCGGTGGGTCGTGGCTGCTCACTGAGGGACGGACGTTCCTCTGCGATAAATCCTCGGTGGGGGGGGGGTTATGGCTCCCAGGGGGGGCTCCTCCTCCCATCCACCTCTGTCTCCACGTGGTACAGGACATCAGCCAGCGTGTGCTCCACCACGGCGCCCCAGCCCATGTCACTCATCTGCAGGGGGAAGCACAGTCAGCTCCAGCCACGGAGTACAGGCCTGGGAAGGAGTGGCAGCAGCATTCCAGGGCTGTTCCCCTCCTGGAAACATCGGTGGGGTAAAAAAAATTCCAAGTGTGTCCTTAAACAATTCCACCCTCTTACTGATAAAAGAGGCCAACACAGGCAACAGCAGGGCCTTACAATCTGTCAAGAGGAACAAGACAGCATCCACCATTTAACAAAAATTTAATTAAATTATTTATTGGGCTAGCTGTCCTTAAATATTTTTTAATGTGCTGTGGTGTGGTACGAATCACACCAAAATACCTTTTGTTTTAAACACTGAGTCTCTCAGATGGGGGTAAAAAAGCTTCAGGTTTACTTACAGGGCGGTAAGTGATGTCTCTGGGTGGATACTTGAAATACGGCCCAAAGTTTATAGAAACCTGGGGAAGACACATTTTCATTAGATCTAAAAAAAACAGGAAAATTTCTTTAGTCCTCAGTCCTCATCCCCCTCCTGCTTCTGAGCCTACCCCCAGCCTGTGCAAGCCCAGAGGAACAAGCACCCCTGGCATGGAAGGAGGGTGTTCCTTCAGCAGTTTTGTTCCAGAGTCGCTTCACTAAAATAATTCCCATCTTCCCTCCTCACTTGGCAGGCTCCCAGAGCACTCCCACTCTGTGCATTACTGAAACTGAGGGATTCAGGCATTCTCCTTCAAAGACACCTCACTTACCGTGCAGCCTTTGTACAAAGAAATGGCAGGAAAATAAACCCCTTCAAAGATGTCCTTAAAGGCAACTCCTTGGCTGACACCGTTCTTGAAGAATATGATCTGAAAAATGAAGGGTTTTCCCACTGATGGTGGCTGTCATAACACAGCAACTCTCCCAGGATTACCCCCCGTTCCCCTTTACCAGATGTGCTGAAGTGACACCCAAGAACTCACCTGGCTTCCAGGTGCCTGCTTTAGGCTCTTCTCTGCCTTGTCCACAAAATCCTTCTCTTCAAAGTACAAGTAGCTTTTGAATTTGATCAAAGCCTGAAATAGCAGCAAACAATGTCAGAAGCAAGTCCAAAAACCTGTTGCCCATCACCTGCCCTGCTTGGGGACAGGTGTGCCTGGTGTCAGAGTACCTGTGAGGAGTGATTCCCACAGCTCAAGTATTTGAGAGCCAGGAGGGGAAGATGAAAGGAGACGTGGGCAATCCCATCCAGGAGTATTTTGGACCTCTCCCCTATGAACCACGGAGGTACCCAGAGGCAGGATGGGAAGGATCCACGGAAAGGGGCAGGAGTGAGGTCAGAGCAACCTGTTTGCCACTTATCCACCTGCTCAATCCAACAGTGAACTCGCCCCTCACCTTGTCTTTGTAGGTGTCAGGCAGGGACTTGGCCGTCTCAGTGTCCTCTGGAAGGCTGATGTAAAATCCCAGGACGTCTCCCTGTCCGTAGCCAGATGAGTAGTGTTTCCCTATCGACTGGTGAAACTTGGTTCCCTTTTTGCTGCGCCAGGAGTAACTGAACTTGTCATATCCCAGAGGGGCCTGGAGGTTCCCTGCGGAAACAAACACTTTGTTGTGAACACGTGGAGTGTAGCAGGAGCATCTCCTAAGAAGTATTTGGTACCATTATTTACCCAAGGGCTGTGACCAGCCTAGTCTGGCAGCTGTGTCTGGAGGCATCTCATCCATGGAGATCTCGAAGTACCAGGCTCCTTTCCGCACGCCATGGGAGGCTCGCACCATGGAATAGCCCTTCTCGCCAACAACAGTCAGCCTGTCGTCAGAGATCTTCAGCTGGGGAGCTGCAGGGGGTGACACGAGCAGTTATTTGGGATTTGCAAAGTGTGGAGATGGCAGAAGGCAAACGAACGTGCAGAGGTGGATCTGCCATCTGCACCTCTGAGAGCAATTACACCTGAAACGTCACTGACCGGTAACGAGAGGTCACCGGGACGTCCCTGTAAGGAAACACAACCTGCCCAGATTAACGAGCTCTGTACCTCGGTCATGCAGTGCCAGGAGGACTCGTTCATACAGGCAGGCTCTGTACAGGTCCCCAGGAATCGGTTTTCCTGCCCAGCAGTCCAGCTCCAGCTTTTCCGGGTCGGGCGCGTGGGGGTCAGGCTCGGCCAGGATGTATCGGTACCCATCCTTGTTGAAGGGGTGTTCCAGAGGGTACCCGTGGGGGGGCAAGCGCTGAGCTGAGAACAATGGGTCACTGAAACACAGAAACTCCAGGCTGGCATCTCCCAGTGGCTGTGGTGCCATCACAGATCACCCCAGGACACCCCCCTGCAGAGCTGTCCCTGCGCTCAGGGGCTGCACAGCGGTGTCTGTGCCAAACGAGCACACACCTACAAACTGAGCACACCCTCCCCCACTGCAAATGATTTATGGCCTGTGAGTTATCAGTAACGTCACAGGGCTCTGGAGTGACTCCCCATGAACCCACCCGAGGCAGAGACAGGTGGGAGGCAGCTTAAGGCATCACAAGCACGGACGTCCCTGCCCGGTGCCCAACACCTCAGTACCCGTGCCCTCCTCTCACCTCCGGGTTTTCTTGGCTGTTCCCGTGGTCCCTCCGTCCTGCTGCTTGCGTTTGGCTCCCCGGCCCTTCCCGCTGCCTCCAGCAGCCATTCCCCCTGCACACACAGACCGGGCACGTTAAGGAGCTGGGGGTCGGGGAGCGCCCGCGCGCCCGGAATCTCCAGGGACAGAGGGGCAGAAGCAGCCAAACCAAAATGAGCTCGTGGGCTCAGGAGCCTTTGCCCACAGTCAGTGTGAACCAGCCCGTGGTGCCAACGAGCACAGCAAAATCCGCAGGGGACTAAATTTGGAGCGGAAGCTGAGGGAGACTGAGCAGCAAAACGAGCTCAACCCAGCCTTTTGAGGTCAGAATTAAGAATCTTTTCTGTCATGAGAAGAGCTACAGGCAGCAGCACTGGGATCCACTTCAGAGGTATTATTATTAGTCTTTCATGGAGATTCCAGTCACAGTTCCAATCTACTTCTGCAGAAGCAGCAGAAACCCACCCTACAGCACAGCCACTATCCCAGTGACCCTGTGCTGGGGGAACACTCTGACACCAATCAGCAAGAAGCACTTTAATGTTCAATTTCCATCTATAAAATAAAATACACCTACGTGGAGGAAAAACAAAAAGCAAGAGGTGTTTCTCTTCAGTATCACCAAAGTCAGTTCTGGGATTGAACAGTGTACCAGCCTGAACTACAGCACTGATTTTGAACTCACAGGACTGTAGTACAGGAAAGGCTGCGTGTCAAATTTAATCAAACTGAGATCAGCACAACGTTTTAATGAATTAAATCATATGTGCATTTTATCATCACACTATTTCAAAAGAGATCAGTGTTGATTCACAAGGAAAACTACGGAAATTTCATGTACTGTAGATAAACACCTTCACGAACTGCATTCGTGTGGTAATTAAAAATCCAGTCAGCTCTTCCATTACCAGCATTCCCTTATGGTGTAAGGGATCCAAATCACCCAGGGAATACCATATTCTGCACAAACATGACCTGATCCAGCTGCACATCACCTGATCCAGTGCAGATAAACATTCAGGATCTCCAGTTGGTAAATATTTACTTGCCCAAACCATCACACTGTATGTTTCAGACTGAATTATTTAGACATTAGGAGTTAAAATGACAACATCAGGTCAACTGACACAAAGTAAAAATAAATATAAGAACAAAATACACAAATAAAACATTTATAACAGTCAAGTAGGGCAGAATATGGCAATAAAAGCTTTTAATTGCTAAAGATTAAAGAGTGGAATTGCTGGTTTGTATTAAAGCCTGACTGCGATCACATCAGGGCACGCTTTCATTTTTAATTGACTTTGGCTTCTAAGAGAATCAAGCAAAAAAGCTTTGCAAACAGCAATACTTAAGTTTTAGAAGCTGAAAGGTAAATATTCACCTCCCAGAGAGGCTCCACCTGCAAGAACAGAAGTGGCACCACATGTTTGTCAGTCTCCCGGAAATTCAATAAAAAACAACCAGTGCATGACATGGAGACAACACACCTGAGATATCTGTAACCTGCTCTAAAAAGCCCCAAATACCTCCTGCCTGTACTATTGGGATGTGTTTACTGCAGATTATTAATACATATCCTCATCAGCAGGTACTTCACTGCAGTAAGGTCACCCTGAGCAACCTCGGCAGGACGGGACAGCACAGGAGTCACCCTCAAGGAGTAACAGTAAAGCAGAAGCAGTGAGCACAAGGAATAATGTATATATTTATCCTTTCCCCAGCTACTTTCAACTCTCAGAGAAAGGGAAACACAAGGAGGTAAATTAAAACCATTCTAAGAGCAAACTGACAAGCTGGGCTTTCTGGCGAGCATCTTGATTTATCTGGTCACCGTAAAGAAACAGCTGAACCTTCCCAAGAACTAAAGTTAATCCTTCTATAAAAAGGCACAGTGAGACTGTTCTGAGCACAAGCATAAACTCAGCTCACACGACAGCTGAACTGCACAGATGCCCAGAGGACTGGGAAATGCAGCTTAGTCCCAAATACCCAAAACCCTCTCGAGTAAAGAACTTGCCATTCAAGCTTCCACTCGTGGACACAGCGTTGCTCTGTTTCTGGTTGTCATAGGCAGGGCCAATATTGGCAAGATCCTGCAAGAGATCAAACAATCTGCTGAACAGACTTGGTCAAAGGTGCCACTCTGAGCCCAAGCAGGGCACTCCCAGGTGCTGGAGCTCCCACCCACCACTGGCACAACACGGACTCGTGGCAGAGCTTTGCCCCTTGACTGAGCAGAAGGCACCACAAGGATCCCCCACTCCTCCCTTCTCTCATCATATACCTGGTCTAGAAGCCCAAATTTGGGGTAATCTTCCTCTGGGTCTTTACTGCCCGGGTCTGGGTGCTCTTTCACCAGGAACACGTCTCTTTCTTTGCACTGAAACAGAGGAGTTCAAGTCACACGAGGTAAGATTAACAAATTAATTAACAAGTGTTTAAATCCCATTGTGTACTATTAATATGTGGGAGGTACATCAGCATCTTCACCCTTCAGCTCCAAGCTCAACCCTCAGCACACACCAGCATCAGAAAACTAAAATGTTCGTGGTAATTCCTCCAGGGATTTACCCCCAGTTCTTACCATGGTTTTGACAATGTTATTGGGCCAGGTCATTTTCCCAGGCCTCTGCCGCGTTGTCATACACTCCCAGTATTTATCAATGAACGGGATAATATCCTGTGAAAGCAGAGAACATTTCTCTGAGCTCCTCTCACTGACACCACCCCTGGCGCGGACCCGCGGCGGTTCCGTCACAGCCAAACCTTATCCTTGGAGAACATCGTCTTGGGGTGCTCGTCCTGTGTCCTCGACTGCCACGTGAGGTTGGCCAGAGCACTAAGGCACATTTCCTTGAGATCTGGAACACAAAACACCCAAGGAATACACTTGGTGGGGAAGATCAGGACACCCACCTGTGTTCACAGCAATCACCGACCCCACAGCATCACCCCGAGGAACAGCAAACCCCCTCGAGCTCATCCTGATCAGCCCCCACTGAACACATTGACACCGTCTTCAGCAATTAAAACAGCAAAACATTTTTAGAAAAAGCCTCAGATTTGTTGCTATGAATTTTCTGGTCATTTTCCAAGAGTCTCAGCAGAACCCTCCCAGACAAAACCAAACCTTCAGCATTATCTTGCACAAAACACCCCCCAACGTGCTTCTCCCAGACTCACTCGCTTGTTTCCTCAGGAAGTAGGTGTTCCCACTGTGGTGGCACACGTTGCAGTGGAAGCTGTAGTTGGTCATGAAGGGCAAACAGGACCTGGGAAAGAGCAGGTTTGTCAGGGCTGGGTACACCGTAATTACTGCATTAGATTAAAGGAATGCCAGAATTACTGAGATTAGAAAAGACCTCTGACATCATCGAGTCCACCCTGTGCCCAATCCCCACCTTGTCCCCCAGCCCAGAGCACTGAGTGCCATGTCCAGTCCTTCCTTGGACATCTCCAGGCATGGGGACTCCACTACCTTCCTGGGCAGCCCCTTCCAATACCTGACCATGCTTACCAGGGAAAAATTCCTCCTGATGTCCAACCTGACCCTCCCCCTGGCACAGCTTGAGGCCGTTTCCTGTCATCCTGTCCCTTGTTCCCTGGGAGCCCCCTCCTGTCAGGGGGCTGCAGAGTCAGAAGGTCCCCCCTGAGCCTCATTTTCTCCAGGCTGAGCCCCCCCAGCTGCTCATGGTGCTCCAGACCCTTCCCAGCTCCGTTCCCTTCCCTGGGCACACACCAGCCCCTCAGTGTCTTTCTTAGAAAAGAAATAAAGTCAATTATTCTTTACTACACTGGATTAAGACATTAATTATTCCAGATTAGAAACCAATTATTCTTTCTCTCCCTGAGCCCAGAAACACCTTACAGGCTCAGTGGTATCTGGTAGGGGTGCTTTTATCACGGGCAAAGTCTTAGTTATTTACACAACGTGCTGGTTTCCAAGTGTCCAAGGATACGGACGGGGCCTTGGTCCTTGGGAACTCGCACTCTAAAACACTCCCTTCCTGCTGCCAGGGCTCACGTACGTGGTGTCGATGCCGAAGGTGTCCGCCGTGAACCACTTGGTGCAGATCCCACACTGCAGCTCGATCTCTCCCAGCTGCCGCGCGTTCTCCTCGTCCCCCGAGCCCCCCTGGGCATCCAGGGCCTCGGCACCATCCCCAGCCGTGTCCTGGAACAGGAGCAGAGCCAGGGAATCACACACTGCCCGGGCAGAGCAGAGCCAGGGACTCACACACCTTTAAACGGAATAAATCCCTCCCCCTGATCCGTGCCCGCGCTGGAGCTATTCCATAGACTCAGCTCGTTACACGGGTGAGGATTTAACTTCCAAAATAACCCTTTCCAGACCCAAAGCTGGGGGGATGTAAATTCCCTTAGGGCTGAACCACCCACCACTCCCCGTGCCCACAGCACTTACCAGGGGCTCCTTGCCGTTGGCGGACTCGGTCTCCAGGGCCGTGGTGACATCGACCAGGGCGGTGTCCCCGCTGCCAGGGCACAGACGTGTCAGAGGAGCCGCCCCCCCGGGACCCCCGGGAATGGGGGGCGGAGGGGGGGCTCAGCCCGGACCCGGGGCCCGGCGCGGGATGGGGGGGTACGTGCAGCTACCCCCCGCCCTCCCGGTGTCGCTTGGGCCCCCCGGGGACCCCTCTGGGGTGGTGCAGGACCCCCATCCCCGTTCCCATGGTAACGCGGCGAGCCCCCCCCCCCGCCCCCTTTTCCCCCATCAAAGCCCTCACGGTGCGGGGGCTGCGGGGGCCGCTCGGGCGCGCGCAGGGAGGGCCATACCCGCTCTCGGCGTCGGCGGCGGGCGGTTCTGGCGGGGCCGGGGGCTCCGGGGCCGGGGGGGGCTCCGGAGGGGGCTCCGCGCCCTCGGCCGCCGCCGCCGCCATGTTCGCCCGCCGCCCGCGCTCGCGGCTCTCGCGAGACCCGGCGCTTCAAAGGGCGATGGCTCCGGGTGGGCCCCACCGCTGCGCAGCGGCGCCACCTGGCGGCGGCCGCCGGGAACTGCGCGGCGGGGAGATGGAGCCGTGACGTCACGTTTCCCTTCTGTCGTGACGTCACTTTTTGCAGCGTCGTGACGTCACCCGGCCACAGCCTGAGAGGGAGGTGTGGGGCTGACAGCGGGGTAAGAAACCGCCAGAGGGTCCCAGGTTTCCCCGGTGCCCCGCACGTTTCTCCCAGGGAAGGAGGAGCGTCGCCTCGCTGGGAGACGGGTGGGGACTAGGGGAGACCCCCGCTGAGACCCCCACCCTGGAGAGGTTGGGGTCCTCGGGTACCCCAGGTCCCTGTCCCTTCTCCAAAGAGCAGGACAGGATTGATGGGTGGCGGGGAATGTGCCTGGGTCACTCGTCCACAGGGGTCCCGGGTGGTGCCGTCCCCACACCCACCAGCCGCGGCAGGAGAGGGATGGGGGGGGCTGGTGGTGGGGACGAGCCCAGGAGGGATGGAGGGGAGGATGGAGAGGGAAACGGGCAGGACGAGAAGAACTGGAGGGCTGGAGGGATGAGTCGGGTGGATAAGACTGGAGGCAGTTAGGGAAGGGTGGAAAGGAGAGAGGGAGAAAGAGAGGAACGAGAGACGGCGGAGTTGGAAGCGGGGAGGGATGTCTGCGCGGAGATGGGGGTGGAGGGGAGGGAGGATGGAGATAGGGACGGAGGGCTGGGAAGAGGGATGGGGAGAAGAGGGGAGGGGGCTGCCGGAGAGGGGGGTGCCCGGGGCGGCGCTCGGGGCCGCTGTACAAATAGGGCGGCTGCGGGTGGCCCGGGCAGACATGCGGGTCCCGCTCCGCTCCGCGCCCGCGCTGGCGCTCTGCGCCCTCGCCCTGCTCCGCCTGGGCTGCGCATCCCCCCGGGCATCCACCTGGGCACCGACTGGAGCATCCCCCCGGGCATCCACCTGGGCACCGACTGGAGCATCCCCCCGGGCACCCACCTGGGCACCGACCGGAGCATCCCCCCGAGCACCCACCCGGGCGCCCACCCTGTCCCCGGCCCGCGCCCCGCCGCGCTGCCCCCCGCTGATGCTGCAGCTGCTCCGCGCCCCTCCCGCCCCGCTCCGCGCCGCCGCCGCCGCCGCCCTCAGCCTCTCCCCGCACGGTGAGTGGGGCCTCGGCCCCGGACATCCCTGTCCTGGGACCGGCACTGTCCCCGGGACCCTCACCATCCCTCAGCATCCCTATCCTGGGACCGGCACTGTCCTCGGGTCCCGTGCGGTCCCGGGGCAACCCTGTCCCCGGGATCAGCACCATTCCTCTTCCCGGGACTGGCACTGTCCCCAGGCATCCCTGTTCTGGCACAGTTACAGTCCCCGGGACCTGCACCGGCCCCAAGCATCCCTGTCCGGGGACCCCCACTGTCCCGAGAATCCCTGTCCCTGGGACCGGCCCTGCCCGGGGCTCTCGCTGGCTCTCGGGGTGGATCCAGCGGCTTTCCCCTGACCCTCGGGCTCCCGCGGCAGGGACGCGAGGGCACCATCCCTCCCGGAGCTGGCACCCCCGGCCCCACGTCCCCTCACCTTGCCCTTGGCTTTCAGGCTCCCTGCAGAACGGCTCCCGCTGGGCGCTCTCCTTCGACATGTCCTCCCTGTCCAGCAGCCAGGAGGTGAGTCTGGCCCAGCTCCGCATCCGCCTGCCCGGGCTCTCCCACTCCCACGTCTCCCTGGACATCTACCACAGCCAGCGGCGCAGGTGCCGGGGACACGGGACCTGCGCCCACCAGCTCTTCCTGGGCACCGTGGCCGGCAGCCCCTCTGCCACCCAGGCCTCCTGGGAAGTCTTCGAGGTCACCAACCTGCTCCGGTCCTGGCTGCACCAAGCCGTGGTCCCCGGGCACCACAATCCCACGGGAAAGGAGCGCTGGGAGATGAACAGCTCAGATGTCCCGGCCACCAGTGCGGTGCACTCGCCCATCCTGAGCGACGCTGGCCACGGGGAGCCAGCCCTGCCCCAGGACGTGGCAGACAGAGTCCTGCTGCTCATCTTCTCCACGGACAAGTCTCCAGGAGACCACAGCCTCATCAGGACAGCGGAGACCTCCAAGTACATCATGCGTGACAGCGGCTCCCAGGGCGAGGGGACGCGCCGGCACCGCAGGAACAGGATGGAGAAGCAAAGGATCAAAGCGAGCGACGCTGCTCCGGCCACGCCGCGGGAGGAGGGCAGGGCCCTGTGCAGGCGGGTGGACATGATGGTGGATTTCGAGCAGACGGGCTGGGGCAGCTGGATTGTCTACCCCAAAAAGTACAACGCCTACCGATGCGAAGGGCTGTGCCCCTCGCCCGTGGACGAGACCTTCAAGCCCACCAACCACGCGTACATACAGGTAAGAGGAGCTGCCCCCGCGCCCCCCACACTCCCAGCCCTCCACCCGCGGCAGGGGGGATTTTCTGCCCTTCCCGTGTCTCCCACAGAGTTTGCTGCAGCTCTACAAGCCCAACCAGGTGCCGTGTCCCGCCTGCTCCCCGGTCAGGATGAGTCCCCTCTCCATGCTCTACTACGAGAAGGGCGAGATCGTCGTCCGCCACCACGAGGACATGATCATCGAGGAGTGTGGCTGCAACTGAGGCCACCTCGTCCCCCGCTGGGAAGGGGCACATCTCTGCCCAAAAGTGCCCCCAAGGACCGACCACCCGACCTATGGCCATCACACAGACCGGGGCATCTCGAGCCCATGTGACTGTGGGTCGGCAAAGCCCTGGCTGGGCCAGGGGAGGAGTGGGGAGTGGGGTGCCAGGGTGTTAGCAGTGCTTCATGGCCACGGTGCATGGCTGGATCCAGGCTCCACGCAGGAAAGGCCACCAGCCACCTCCCTGTGGCACCTTGGTGCCCCACACTGTGTTTTTCCAGGAGCTGTGGTGCTGCTGGAAGATGTGCCTGGGGCAGCCAAGGGCAGAGGCAGGAGCTGAGGTGCAGGACTGGAGCATGGCAGCATCACTCCCTGCCACGGCACACTCTGCTCCCTCCGTGAGGCCATGGATCTGCTCAAGCCTTTTCCCCCCTCGCTGGATGGGGTGGTAGAGAAAGGGTCACAGTGGTAAAACTCATCAATAAATTATATATATATATATATTAAAAACGTCTGGTGGTTCGGCTGATTTCCACAGCCCGTTTTTGCTGTTGGTGGTCTGTCAGGGTGCAGTTCCTCCATCTCTCTGTCCATTTGCTCCTTCACCAGTAACACCAGAGCAGGTGGGCTCTGGCTGTTCCTGACACTGCCAGAGCAAAGGGGTCCCTCCAACGGTGCAAAAGATGCTCAAAAGCTCCAAAGTTCACGTGAGATAAGGATGGAGCTGCTCCCACCCTGACGGGAGGTTGCTCAAGAGCAAGCAGGGAGGCACCTGCAGGAGGGGAAGGGGAGGCTAAAGGGATTTCCCACCCTTATTTACCCCTCGGAGATAAGGGAAGGGCTGTGCTCTCTAACAGCAGTGAATTCTAAGCCTTGGGCCGGTGCAGGCAGCCTTTGGGTCACCAACCCGGTGACAGCAGGAGAACCCCAGCCCCAGGCAATGCCCGGGGCCTCCAGTGCCCTGGGGTGACCGTGTCCCCTCTGCACCCCAGTCCTGGCGGGGGATGCTCCTCCTGGGCAGTGAGGGTCAGTGCTGGGGTTTGGCTGCAGCCCCGGCGGTGGGTCTGGGGTCCCCCAGGCTCAGGGCGGCCCCCGTGGATGGGGACACGGCACTCGCGGGGGGGACCCACGGTGGCCCCCGCGCAGCCGAGGGGACGGGAGGGACCACAAGCATCGGGGCTGGTGGCGGGTGGCCCGGGTGGCTGCGCAGGATGGGACAGGGGCCACCTCCCTCCCGCCCCTCCTGGGACCGGCAGCCCCGACTCCACATCCCAGCCCAGCCTGATTATCCCCAATCCACATCCCAGCCGGCGGATAAACAAAGCGTGTCTGGTGTGTCCCCCCTCCCCAGCAGACCCTCCCCGGGGCCGCTTACATATTCCAACAGCTTTCACACTGCGACCATCCCGTCATTAGAGGGTCATTTGCAGGAGCTGTCAAGGGTGGGCCGGGGGCGCGGGGCTGACCCCCGGCAGGAGGCAAAGCCACGCAGAAACCTGCACATCTGCGCTGTGGGTGACATGAAATCACATTATTTTGCCTCTTTCTCCGCAGTTCTGCCACTCCTGCTCATAAACGGGAGGATTCACACCCTCACGCCCAGCCCGGGACGCCCCGGCCCCCCCCAGCCCCCGCTGTATCTCTGCCATCTCTGCCCCTCCATCACCCCTGTTTGGAATCCAGCAGCGGCTTCAAAAGTTGTGGCGGGGCAGGGGGAGGCAGCAGCCGTTCCCTGGGAAGAGCGGGGTGGAAAAATAAAGGCTGAGATTCCAGGGCTGTAAGGAAAACATCAAAGTGCGGGCGGTGACAATAAAGCCGGGTTTAGGCGAGGATCTGCTGGCGAGCCGGGCTCTGCCAGGCTCGGGCTGTGAGCAGGGACCCGATCTGAGCAGGGAGAGCTGTGGCCCTGCTCCTGCCCCAATCCACATCGGCTGCGGGGGGGCCGTGGGGGGGACAGAGGGAGCCCAGACACGCAAGACAATAAAGTGGGGGGACAGCCCCAGCCCTGCCATGGGGTGCTGCCTGTGACCCGTCAGCATCCCAGGGCCAGGGGGGAGCCGGCAGGTCTCTGCTCTGGGAAGGGCTGGCTTGGTCTCAGCAGCCTTAAACATAAAGGACAGAGCCTCCCCGTGCAGGGAAGGTTTTCCAGCAGGGAAGGTGCCTGAGGTTTTCTGGGAGGGCAAGACTTGGAACAAGCAGTGACCACTCGGGGAGCATGGGAGTGTGGGGCAGCTGAGCCTGGGGGGGATCAGTCTGGAGGGACAGGGGGATGGCAGGCACGGATTGCTTTGGACACACGAGGAAAGAGCAAAAACAAACAGGCCAAGGGGCTTATCACAGGCCCAGGGTAATATTTGTACAAGTGGTGCACTAAGGCTCGAGCTGGGGTGGGCAGGTGGTGTTTGTCCCGTGACTGGGACACAGAGCAGGACACAGGGACATGGAGAAGGACTCAGGGACACGGAGCAGGGCACAAGGACACGGATTAGGATGCAGGGACACGGAGGAGGACTCAGGGATGTGGAGCAGGATGCAGGGACACCGGGTGTGCTGCTCTACCCTCCTGCGACAAAAAGGGGCTGGGATGGGAAATGCAATGACAAAGCCAACACTTGTCCCTGGACCTCCCCAGAGCATCCCAGCTGTGCCACAGCCACCCACAGCTGCCTTCCCTCCCTCCCTGCCTCCCACCGTGCTCACCAGGGCTCAGCCTGCAGGAAAAGCAGCTCCTCGGCCTGGGAGTGCAAGTGTTGGGCAAGGAACAGAGCCTGGTGGAGCAGGGAACTGCCCTGGAATGCTGAGCTGCTCCATGCGGGGCTCGGGAAAGCTGGGAGAGCTGCAAACATGAAGGCAGGCAGGAGATGGATCCAAAACTGCCCAGCTGAGGGATGCAGTGGCTGGGGGTGTGAGGGAGGGGGTGAAGGACCGGAGCAATGGGGTGCTGAGACCACTTGGTCCCACGCCACGGGTGGAAAAGTTCAAGGAACGGGCTCAGGACAAATTGCAGGGAGCAGATGCCCACAAGCGTCACCTCATCCCATCCACAGCTTTGGTCAGGACTCTCTCTGCCCCCCACGACTGCCCCCAAGTGCCTGTGGCCCCAGGGCCCTGGCCGGGAACCCAGCGGGAGCCCCGACCCTCCCGGACAGAGCCCTGGTCACACCTGGCCAGGTGTTTCACAGGGAGCCCTCCCTCCCTCCGAATTATCAGCTATGCATTGCTGTCCCAGGCACCTGGGGCTTTGATGCTCCCCCAGATCTGCATAAGCTTCAGATACCAATGCAAAGCTTCCAGGGCAGGGACAAAGTACTTAACACTTCCAGCACGTGTTACCTCTCCTGCAGGTGGGAGGGAATGGGATTTAAGAGCATTACCTGCAATACCTGACACTTACCCCAAAATCCAGGCCTTTGTACCGACACCAAATCCTGACCCCACAAGGCTCTTGCAGCAGCTCCTCTCCAAACCCTCATCAGAACCAAACCTGTGCAGAGTTGCAAGACTGATAAAGTCACACCAGAGGGCAATAAATTTGGATTTGTTCCCATTAAGGTTTCAGAGAAACCCTTAAATCTTATCTTGGAGAAATGCGGGTTTATCTGCAGCAATTGCTTTGTTCTGTTACTCATTATTAAGGGTTTGCATATCATAATGTCACCACTGAGCCTCATTAGCAGATATTTAAAAGCTATCTACAGAATCTGATCTGCACAGACACTCATTGTGGTTCAGGAAGTCTGAGGTCCAGGCTGTGTCCTGATATGGATTGTCCTCCTTTGAGGTGCCTCCACTCCCCCTCAGCATTCACACAGCAATGTGTTAGAACCTCTTGCAGACCACATTTATTAAACCTGAGGCTAAAAATGCAGATATTTGGTCGATGGGGATGCAAATTGGGCATTCCCCACGGAAAAATTAACTTTTCTCACATGAAAATTCCCCTCTCAAACCCAGATTTGTTTCTAACACCCCCCCCCAGCCAAACCCTCTTTCCCAAAGCCCTGACCCCTGCCTACCACAGGATAAAAAGGAGAAACAAGGGTGAAGCAGCACTGGAGTTTCAGCAGGGATGACAAACCCAGGTAAGCACTCACCCCCCAAAGAGACCCGCTGTGGAACACCTCAGGCCGGTGGTTTCTTGCTGGAATAAGGGACAGAAGCCACATTTATTGCATTCATCTCCACACCAGGAGACTCCACATGATTTTTATTTCTCCCTTATATAGCATTTCTGTAACTGTTACAGTATTAAAATGATTAACAAAAGCATAAAACTGGAACCAAAACCAAGGGGTGAGAGTGTCTCCTCTGGCACTCCGAGACCCGGCCCCTGGAACAGGACACGCTCTGCTCTCCCAAGGGAATCAACTGCCTTTCCCAGGAGCAGGAAGGCACTCAAGGCATGGGCTGCTGTAAGCCTGGCTGGTGGGAATCCTCAAGACAAGTCCTGGTGCTTCACTGGATCAGCACTCCCCGGGCAGGTGCATTAGATGTCCATGTCAAACTGCTCTTCCTCACCTGCTGAGGGGACAAAACCACAAATGAGTCCTCTGAGTTCCACACTGAATACCAGGGATTGTGGTGAAGGGGCGACTGGCAGCTCTGCTTCAGAAATGGGGCTGTTTGGGCTTAAAAATCTGCATTCAGGCATTGAGGCTGGTGTGAAAACCATCTCGTGAAGCTCTTGTAAAGGTGTCCGCTCTGGGGGATCTTCCTCTGACCAAAAAGAGCAGAGGCAGAAAAAATGCCCTTTAAATAATTTATCCCTACCCCTGGATGTCCTTCTAACAGGGAATGTAAGGACCCACGTTGACGACAATCACTGGCACGAACCCACACAGGCACATTTCACAACCATTATCCCTCCAGCTGCTCCCACAGCCTGGCAGGAGCCAGCCAGAGCAGCCAGGATCTGTTCCTGGGCACAGGGATTCTCTGGGAGAGTCACAACCCAGCGCCCAGCCTGTATTTCAGGGTGCCAGAGGGTCCAGCGAGACACTTGAGGTCACAGGAGTGTGAAGGCATGAGGCAACTCTGGAAAGATTCTGCTTGGAGTGAGCATGGAAGCCAACAGGAGCCTTCAGGACTTTATTTTTAGAGAGAAGATAAGTACTTGCACTTGGTAGCTTCATGTTGCTTCAAGAACTAACCTCAAATAACTCTAAGAACAGTTCTTCAAGAGCAACACTGGCTCGTGTTGCTGCTTCAGGGCCCCGGTGAAGTGTCCCTGTCACAAAGTGGGGTCAGAAACAGGCAGGAGGAATTTACAACTCGTGTTGATATTAAAAACCCTGAGTAAATCCTACTGTGAATTGTAACCTGAAGCCCCAAGCAGCTGCAGCACGGCCCAGGACAGGGAGAGGCAGCAACAGCTGCCTCCTCTGCTCTTCACAGGGCTCCCGATCCAGCAGCAGCCTCCCAAACGCTGAATTAACGGGAATTACAGCAAATCACACTTAATAACCGAAAAAGTCACGTTGCTGGGGCCCACAGCAGGG